GTAGTAGTAGCAGCAGTAGTAGCAGCAGCAGTGGCAGCAGCAGCAGTAGCAGTAGCAGTAGTAGTAGCAGCGGTGGTTGTAGTAGTAGTAGTAGTAGTAGTAGTAGTAGTAGCAGCAGCAGTAGTAGTGGTAGCAGCAGCAGCGGCAGCAGTAGCAGTAGTAGTAGCAGCAGCAGTAGTAGTAGTAGCAGCAGCAGCAGTGAGTAGCAGTAGCAGCAGCAGCGGTAGTGGTAGCAGCAGTGGTAGTAGCAGCAGTGGTAGTGTAGCAGCAGTAGTGAAGTAGTAGCAGCAGCAGTAGTAGTAGTAGCAGCAGCGGTAGTAGTGAGTAGTAGTAGTGGTAGCGGCAGCGGCAGTAGTAGTAGTAGTAGTAGTAGTAGTAGTAGTAGTAGTAGTAGCAGCAGCAGCAGCAGCAGCAGTAGTAGTAGTGGTAGTGGCAGCGGTGGTAGTAGCAGTAGTGGCAGCAGCATGAGTAGTAGCGGTAGTAGTAGTAGTAGCAGCAGTAGTAGTAGTAGTGGTAGCAGTGGTAGCAGTAGTAGTAGCAGTGGTAGTGGTAGCAGCGGTAGTAGTAGTAGTGGTAGCAGCGGCAGCGGTGGTAGTAGTGGTGGCAGCGGTGGTAGTAGTAGTAGTGGTAGTGGCAGCGGTGGTAGCGGCAGCGGTGGTAGTAGTAGTAGTAGTGGCGGTGAGTAGTAGCAGCAGCAGTGGTAGTAGCAGTGGCAGTGGTAGTAGTAGTAGTAGCAGTAGCAGCAGCGGTAGTAGTGGTAGTAGCAGCAGTGTAGTAGTAGTAGTAGCAGTGGTAGTGTAGTAGCAGTAGCAGCAGCGGCAGTGGTAGCAGTAGTAGTAGTAGCAGCAGCAGTAGTAGTAGTAGTAGCAGCAGCAGCAGTAGTAGTAGCAGCAGCAGCAGCAGCAGCAGTAGTAGTAGTAGTGTAGTTGTATTCGTATTGGTGGGGAATGGGGAGATATAAATACTTTCCATGTTTCTATTGTTCTTCAGTAGGATAGTCCGACAGTTGTCCTCATTGATCAGCAAGGTGAACAAATTATATTATTCCGCCATATATAAAATGTATCCCTTCACAAGATGATATTAATAAACTCAAGTTAATATCGTGAACACTGAGGTATGATTGTTTCATTATGCTATACAATCTCTATGTAATTAGTGACGGTCTCTGGTTACTACAGACGCTGTAAAGAGGGCAATGTTTCTAATCAGAAACTGTAACATATATATGAAGGAAACAGCTGTCACAACGGAACTCGCCAACTTATTGGGAAGTCTTCAATTATAGATAGTGTCACATAAAACTTAACACTTATTACTTATGGACTCATGATAAAGTCCCGTACACCAATAAAATATATGATCAAATAAAACCCAATACTTGTAACCCCACGACGGAGGTTGCTGTTTTCAACTCAACAACCTGTGCCTGTCGTGAGACGAGACTTTATGGAAATTGTGACCTGTTTGATAGCGGTCATGTCGATCAGGTGATGGTGGTGATGGTGATGATGATGATGATGACGTCTTCTGTCCCATTGTTGCACCCGTTACAGACACGTGCAAAGGCAAGTGAATAGCTCACCCGAAGTAACACTGGGACTTATGAAACAAGAAGGGACTTGTATTGGACATTAGTTTGTTGATGAAACACCCAACTTGGAAATGACTTTACAAAGTCCTTGAATGTTGTAATCTGGATCAAACAATGCTTTAGAAAGAGTCATATGACGTTTTTTTGTTTTTTTGAAATCTTGATGACATGGTTCGATTGTATTTCAAGTATACGAACACGTTTGAACATGTCCTTAAGAATTCGCCTTAGGTCTTGCTCTACGTTAGTACATATGATCTGCACTGTAAATTAGGGACCGTTCATAATTTATGGCTAGGGGGTGATGATGATGATATTTAAAATTATCATTATACGTACATGTAGCTGTGACGTGATCAACTGCAGGGGTGTCCCTGTATATAAAAACCCATGACTCAGGTAGACAGGTATGGGTGTTCATATTCAAGTCTGTCTGAAACATGTAATGCGAGTGACACAAGTCAGCTGGGCGGTGGGGTAGCCTGGTGGTCAAAGCGTTCGCTTGTCACGCCGAGGGTGCGGGTTCCATCGCCCTCATGGGTGCAATTTGTGAAGCCTATTTAGGGTATCCTCTGCTGCGAATGTTTTGGGTTTTTTTATATTTCCCATTTCCATGTTACAAATACATGATCATATGTTGATAAGCATTTGAAAGAAATATCATGTATAATTTAAGTTCAGCATTTATATTTCACTACAGACATAATTGCAGATTTAGTGTACATACAGCATAAAATACAATGGTAAGATAGATACAGCATGTGAATAAATATTTGACCGGTATGCAAATTACCGTAATCTGTTACAAACAGTAAATACTACTCGTATTGCTGTGATGGACTAAGTTGTATTGCTGCCAGGTTTAAAGGCTGGGTTTTAACTTCAGAAAAGAGAGCATGGAAAGATGACCAAAACTGGAAAAAACTTCTGAAAATATGTTATTTTTGTTGCTTCATAGTAATAAAGTATCTCTCTCTCAAGAGGCAGATATTGCTGGAATGTTGCTCAAAAGGGCGTAACAACGTACTCCCTCACTCATAATTCAGGTTAATGGTGAGGTAACTGGCATCAGGGTAACGTGTACAAGAAACAGCTTATCTCTACCACTGAAATCGTGAATGATGTAGGTGACTATCTGTGAGTTTCTAGTATGGTGGTCGGTCCATACACAGAGGGGTCCATCTATAGCCCTGAATGTGTCTGTGCCTACAACCGGGACCATGTTTTACCGAGACATTGCACCAGAAGAGTGAGTGAGTGAATGAGTGAGCGAGTTAGAATTTAACGTCACCTCGGAATGTTTCAGCCATATAATGACGTCACCAGGAGAGAAACATCCGTCAGATTTTTTATTTGTCAAGTAGTAGGAAAATACGACCCTTTCATGTTACATTATGGCAGCCAGGCCTACCACATGTCAAGTGGTGTCACTTCTGGGTCACGAGATGACAGTGTTGTGGTTAATGCTTCACTAAATTGTCATTTCTTTCTTCAGTATTATCGGACACATTGTGTTGCCTCCACTTCCGGTAACATGGGAATATGATGATGAAAATAACTCACTGAATGAATTTAGCACTGGCCATTTTTGTACAAGGACCGGGTGACCCCGTCAGCCGAGACTCTGAAACGCACCATGAGGAGTTATGTCCCCTAGGAGTGTCAGAATACTATGGATGTTGTTTCGATTCCAAGAACACCTTGGGCATTCATAATTTGGGGTGGTAACCTCTCACATCAAGCTGCCAAGCTGCCATGGTATAACTCGAGTTATACCCACTCACTCACTCTTTCATTCATTAATTCACTCACTCATGAATCCATTCTCCCCCTTTGACAACTTAGTCCTTACACGTGAACGAACGTACTTTAATTGACTCGGTTTTCATTATAAATTTAGGCTGGTGAATTTCAAAGAACTAACTTGAAAATTCTTCATTTTGTTTGTGGCCATAATAAGATCGCCTTCATACAGAAGATATGCTGGACTCTTTCCTTGGTCTTAGATGCATTCGAGTCTTAAATAATCTGGTACGCAGTCTTCTGAGTGAAATACTTTGTTTTTAAAAGTAGATACATTTTCTACATAGCTTAAAATCTGTTGTGAACGTCTTGCTCGTCATCGCGCTTCGTGGCACGTTATTGTACGCCGTCAAAACGTGGTAAAGAAAGCCAGCTGGACTGCTGGACACGTTAGCCACCATCTTGAATTTAGGGATGTGGACCATCTCTGGCAATTTGGTGCTAATCTTGGCTACACAACTGTATTCTCAAGGGACTTTTAATATCGCACGCGCGGTTTCAGTTTTCGCGTCTCCTTGGGCGGCGCTGCCTCATAAAGTGTTGCTTCACAAAATAGCTGCTTGTTTGTTGCGGTGATACAAAGTCCTCGGAGTTGCCTCTAACGGAAGCCGCTACCAGTCGATAAAGAGTGATCACTAAGGTGTAAAATTTCAAAGAAACTTTTATTGATAATCGTGCAAGTCCGTGTGATTGTCCGCGCGCTATATTCATTACCATGTCTTTTATCGCTGCATTAGCCGACAAAGCGCCAGTCAAGTGTGTCGGCCGTGTTCTCAGCTTTCTAATAGACAGAAAGGGAAGATTAGCTTTTCTGATAAAATAACGGAAGTTGAAATCTTCACCAAAAAGCGAAATAAATTCTGCTGATGCATTGACCTGAAGACATAATGCCCGAATCTCGTTGTTAATTTCCTTAGCTGTGCGTGTATTTACTCGAGTCTGTTGGGGCGGCTTTACCAGCGACATGAAAGGTGTGTTAGCCATTAACAAAGCCGCTAGTCTTAATCAGAATTTACCTGAGGGAGTCGTGAGAAAGATAGTTTCAGGTGGAAATTGTCAAAAAAGAAATTATCCAATCAATACGAGTTTGTGGGATTGAGGTGCGTCGACACGACGAGCAAACACAGCGAACGGGCACTTTCCTTCGCCTCCCGCACTAAGACGGGTTGATATTGATTCCAGCTTCTTACTTTCTAGACGGCCGATTGTCTTGTATACATAAGGGGCTAACACAATGCTCGACAGTTCTTCATACGCACCAAATGGTAGTTTTATTACTATGTTTATAAAGATAGAGAACAAATGGCATTTTTATTACCAAACGCATTTGCAATACAAGCGGGTCCGAGAGGAAATTCAATAAGGCGCACGTGCATGGCGCTATTATTCTTAGTTCACAAATCAACGGGATTCATCACCCCGTCAGTAGCATGAAACACTTCACGGAAAGAGCCGAGATATTAAACTTGCACCTAATATTACGACCTTCATGTCTTCTCAATGGTTCATATTAGAGAATCGAAGGACATCTTCTATTGTTACGGTCTTACAGTTCGCCATTCATTTTCAAGCGCTGACACTATTATCCATTCACAAATATACATTTCATCATTACCAATATTTTTATTGCAATTTCTCAGCAAGCTGACTGCATTCATACACGTTAAAAGCAATTAACGGTGTATCTTGATAACCGTCGAATGCTGTGTGTGCGTCCATTCTCCGCCCAGTGTTCTGTGCTCGTCGGATTGAACATGTCATGATTGGTTAGATAATAAAGGTAGCGCTATAAACTGCAAATGTTCACACAATACGTTGATTTACCGCCCTCTATAGGTGCAGTAATTATAAGGACACATCTCGGAGAGGACGAGGAAACAACGTCTAATCTCGCGCAATGCGAGACGTGACGACAGGTATAATTCACTGCTTTGACAAAAGAGGAACAAGTTTCATTAATTTAGAAACACAAAGTAATAAATTACATTCCTTGAACAAACACCGATAATGGATGCCAAAGTGCTTTAAACTTGATATTGTTTGCATATTAGTTGAAATACTTACACAGTCTGCACAAAACACAAGCAGGAATCCGTAATCCTAGACAAAATTTCTTATTTAAAATAAACATAAAATTTAAGTAATTGTTTTTCAATATCTACTAGTATTTCAGAATATTTTGATCTTGACAAAACGTTTGAAACTTAAGATAAGCAGGCTGAGAATAAACTTAAAAGATATACATATTTAACAGAATAACTGTTAAATAACAGTCTGGGCGTGGAACTGACACACAATATTGAAAATTAGCAGTAAAACATGATGAGAGGGATTTCGTTGTATAACTCCCGTTGGAAACAATAGAAACATATACAGGGTAAGAAATGTCATGTGACAAACAAGATGTTTATCATGATATACTGACAGTGTTTTACCACAAAAAAGACATGTTAAGTGGACTTGTTATAAACTGAATCAGTTAACAAAATATTCCTATTTGGAACAATTCCGTGTATTTACTTAGACAAACAATTCAACTTTTGATATAATAACAATTACACATTCGAAGGAGCAACTATTCTCTTTAAAACAGAGAAAATCATCTAAGATGGACAGTTTACTTATTAAACATTTCAAATGTGGTCCATAAATATATTCAAAAAGTGGATAAGAGTAAGAAATTCATTATCTCACAATTTTCAGCTTTGGGTTAACATAATGACAAACCGAAGCAACAGCAACATGACTCCCATTTCATGTCCTAATTTCTAGTTTGAAATGGAAGTCAGCAAATGATGTGACATGTCTGTTTAATGGGCATAAATGAGACATAATAATTCAGACAGCATTGCCAGTTCTCTCCAGGTGTATCATGCCATAGAGGAAGCACTGCATGTCTTGTTCCACCAGGGTCCTGAACAGCGCTCACTGCAGCAGCCACTTTAACGTCGTGCGAGGGGATTGGATGGAAGCTTGTTGGTCGTTTTGTTGGACGAGTTGATGGTTGTCCGCTGTGACAGGAATTAATATACAACGGTCTTTGAATACGCAATGTCATTTGGAAAGTGGTTAAACTTTCTCAGTAATAGGATTCAACCCCAAACCCATCTGTACTTTACTGAGAATGTGTAATCCCAAATATAAGATATGTTACACAGGGGTCTTTGTAGCGTGTTTTACAAAGCTTGTACTGAGGACAAAGTCAAATGGACACCGAGATCATAAACAGTACCAGTTTACAGTACAAATAACAGATTTGCTCCAAAGAAACACACCGTTATTCTTAACAGAATAGCCCTTAACAATCTAAAGATCTTGCAAATCGCAAACCTGTACCTAATTAATTATATAATTTGCACGTCGGGGACGCAATAGCGGTCTTTGAAGGACATTTGATAGAAGTGATGAACATGTGTCATAGAAGTTTTGGATATCCTCTCTTCTTCATTTTTTGGGGTGGTGGGGTAGCCTAGTGGTTGAAGCGTCCGCTCGTCACTCCGAAGACCTGGGTTCGATTCCCCACATCAGTACAATGTGTGAAGCCCATTTCTGGTGTCCCCCACCGTGATATTGCTGGAATATTGCTAAAAGCGGCTTAAAACTAAACTCTCTCTCACTCGCTTCTTCATTTTTGTAACACTACGTTTCGGAGTTACTTCCCACTAATTTTTCATTCTTCCCCATCTCAACAAAATATACAGGTTGCATATCGTAACAACAATTATTTCAACAACTTTATAAACGGGACATAGTTATAACATTTGATCTTAACAAACTACATATGTTGCTGATAGTAATCACCATAGTCTTTAAGAAAGTAAATAGATATTGTACAAACTATGTGTTACACTTCGAAACCGCTTCGGAATCTACCCATCTATATGCTCAGCATTGCAACCGCTATTGTTTATAAGAAGCATACATACAGATACTTGATAGACAGAAGGACACCGCACCTACCGACCCAAGTCTATGAAACACCCTGTAGATAGATAGACACCACACCTACCGACCCAAGTTTATGAAACACTCTGTAGATAGATAGACACCACACCTACCGACCCAAGTTTATGAAACACCCTGTAGATAGATAGACACCACACCTACCGACCCAGGTCTATGAAATACCCTGTAGATAGATAGATAGATAGATAGATAGACACCACACCTACCGACCCAAGTCTATGAACCACCCTGTAGATAGATAGACACCACACCTACCGACCCAGGTCTATGAAATACCCTGTAGATAGATACCACAGCCACCGACCCAAGTCTATGAAACACGCTGTAGATAGATAGACACCCCTCCTACCGATCAAAGTCTATGAAACACCCTGTAGATAGATAGACACCACACCTACCGACCCAAGCCTATGAAACACCCTGTAGATAGATAGACACCCCTCCTACCGACCAAGGTCTATGAAACACCCTGTAGTGTATACCACAGCCACCGACCCAAGTCTATGAAACACGCTGTAGAGAGATAGACACCCCTCCTACCGATCAAAGTCTATGAAACACCCTGTAGATAGATAGACACCCCTCCTGCCGATCCAAGTCTATGAAACACCCTGTAGATAGATAGACACCCCTCCTACCGACCCAAGTCTATGAAACACCCTGTACATAGATAGACACCCCTCCTACCGACCCAGATCTATGAAACACCCTGTAGATACATAGGCGCCCCTCCTACTGACCCAAGTCTATGAAACATACTGTAGATAGATATATATCCCTCCTATCGACCCAATTCTATGAAACACCCTATAGATAGATAGACACCCCTCCTACCGACCCAAGTCTATGAAACACCATGTAGATAGATACACTACCCATCCTACTCTCACAGACTCCCTGTAGATAGATAGACACCCCTCCTATCCATCCTACCCTCACTGACAACTTGTACATAGATAGACACCCAACCTGTCCATCCTACTCTCACAAACATCCAGACACCTTATAGATAGAGAGGCACCCCACTACCCTACCTACCCCTAAAGACAACTTCTAGATAGATAGACAGACACCCTACCTGCCCATCCTACTCTCACGAACACCCAGACACCTTGTAGATATATAGACACCCCACTACCCATCCTTCTCTCACAGACACCCTGTAGATAGATAGACACCCCACTACCTATCCAACCCTCACAGACACCCTGTGGGCAGATAGACACCCTACCTACCCATCTTACTCTCACAGACACCTTGTAGATAGAGAGACACCCCACTACCACTCCTACTCTCACAGACACCCTGTAGGCAGATAGACACCCTAACTACCCATCTTACTCTCACAGACACCTTGTAGATACATAGACACCCCACCTACCCATCCTACCCTCAGATACCCTGTAAATAGATAGACACCCCACTACCCATCCTACCCTCACAGACACACTGTAGATAGATAGACATCCCACTATCCATCCTACTCTCACAGACACCCTGTACACAGATAGACACCCCACTACCCATCCTACCCTCATAGACACCCTGTTGGCAGACAGACACTATACCTACCCATATTACTCTGACAGACACCTTGTGGATAGATAGACACCCCACCTACCCATCCTATCCTCAGATACCCTGTAAATAGATAGATATCCCACTACCCGTCCTACCCTCATACACACCCTGTAGATAGATAGACACCCCTCCTATCCATCCTACCCTCACTGACAACTTGTACATAGATAGACACCCAACCTGCCCATCTTACTCTCTCAAACATCCAGACACCTTATAGATAGACAGACACCCTACCTGCCCATCCTACTCTCACAAACACCCAGGCATCTTGTAGATATATAGACACCCCGCTACCCATCCTACCCCCAAAGACAACTTCTATATAGATAGACAGACACCCTACCTGCCCATCCTACTCTCACAAACACCAAGGCATCTTGTAGATATATAGACACCCCGCTACCCATCCTACCCTCACAGACAACTTGTAGACAGATAGACAGACACCCTACCTGCCCATCCTACTCTCACAAACACCCAGGCATCTTGTAGATATATAGACACCCCGCTACCCATCCTACCCTCACAGACAACTTCTATATAGATAGACAGACACCCTACCTGCCCATCCTACTCTCACAAACACCCAGGCATCTTGTAGATATATAGACACCCCGCTACCCATCCTACCCCCAAAGACAACTTCTATATAGATAGACAGACACCCTACCTGCCCATCCTACTCTCACAAACACCAAGGCATCTTGTAGATATATAGACACCCCGCTACCCATCCTAACCCCAAAGACAACTTCTATATAGATAGACAGACACCCTACCTGCCCATCCTACTCTCACAAACACCCAGGCATCTTGTAGATATATAGACACCCCGCTACCCATCCTACCCCCAAAGACAACTTCTATATAGATAGACAGACACCCTACCTGCCCATCCTACTCTCACAAACACCCAGGCATCTTGTAGATATATAGACACCCCGCTACCCATCCTACCCTCACAGACAACTTGTACATAGACAGACACCCTACCTGCCCATCCTACTCTCACAAACACCCAGGCATCTTGTAGATATATAGACACCCCGCTACCCATCCTACCCTCACAGACAACTTGTAGATAGATAGACAGACACCCTACCTGCCCATCCTACTCTCACAAACACCCAGGCATCTTGTAGATATATAGACACCCTTTGTAGATATATGCCACACCCATCCTACCCCTCACAGACAACTTGTAGATAGATAGACAGACACCCTACCTGCCCATCCTACTCTCACAAACACCCAGGCATCTTGTAGATATATAGACACCCCACTACCCATCCTACCCCCAAAGACAACTTCTATATAGATAGACAGACACCCTACCTGCCCATCCTACTTTCTCACAAACACCCAGGCATCTTGTAGATATATAGACACACCCTGCTACCCATCCTACCCCCAAAGACAACTTCTATATAGATAGACAGACACCCTACCTGCCCATCCTACTCTCACAAACACCCAGGCATCTTGTAGATATATAGACACCCCGCTACCCATCCTACCCCCAAAGACAACTTCTAGATAGATAGACAGACACCCTACCTGCCCATCCTACTCTCACAAACACCCAGGCATCTTGTAGATATATAGACACCCCGCTACCCATCCTACCCTCACAGACAACTTCTAGATAGATAGACAGACACCCTACCTGCCCATCCTACTCTCACAAACACCCAGGCATCTTGTAGATATATAGACACCCTAACCACACCTACCCATCCTACCCTCACAGACAACTTGTAGATAGATAGACAGACACCCAACCTGCCCATCCTACTCTCAAACACCCAGACATCTTGTAGATATATAGACACCCCATACCCATCCTACCCCTAAAGACAACTTCTATATAGATAGACAGACACCCTACCTGCCCATCCTACTCACAAACACCCAGGCATCTTGTAGATATATAGACACCCCGCTACCCATCCTACCCCCAAAGACAACTTCTATATAGATAGACAGACACCCTACCTGCCCATCCTACTCTCACAAACACCCAGGCATCTTGTAGATATATAGACACCCCGCTACCCATCCTACCCTCACAGACAACTTCTATATAGATAGACAGACACCCTACCTGCCCATCCTACTCTCACAAACACCCAGGCATCTTGTAGATATATAGACACCCCACTACCCATCCTACCCCCAAAGACAACTTCTATATAGATAGACAGACACCCTCCTACCTGCCCATCCTACTCTCACAAACACCCAGGCATCTTGTAGATATATAGACACCCTACACCCATCCCACCCCCAAAGACAACTTCTATATAGATAGACAGACACCCTACCTGCCCATCCTACTCTCACAAACACCCAGGCATCTTGTAGATATATAGACACCCACACCCATCCTACCCTCACAGACAACTTCTATATAGATAGACAGACACCCTACCTGCCCATCCTACTCTCACAAACACCCAGGCATCTTGTAGATATATAGACACCCCGCTACCCATCCTACCCCCAAAGACAACTTCTATATAGATAGACAGACACCCTACCTGCCCATCCTACTCTCACAAACACCCAGGCATCTTGTAGATATATAGACACCCCGCTACCCATCCTACCCCCAAAGACAACTTCTATATAGATAGACAGACACCCTACCTGCCCATCCTACTCTCTCACAAACACCCAGGCATCTTGTAGATATATAGACACCCTGCCACCCATCCTACCCCCAAAGACAACTTCTATATAGATAGACAGACACCCTACCTGCCCATCCTACTCTCACAAACACCCAGGCATCTTGTAGATATATAGACACCCCGCTACCCATCCTACCCCCAAAGACAACTTCTATATAGATAGACAGACACCCTACCTGCCCATCCTACTCTCTCACAAACACCCAGGCATCTTGTAGATATATAGACACCCCGCTACCCATCCTACCCCCAAAGACAACTTCTATATAGATAGACAGACACCCTACCTGCCCATCCTACTCTCACAAACACCCAGGCATCTTGTAGATATATAGACACCCCGCTACCCATCCTACCCCCAAAGACAACTTCTAGATAGATAGACAGACACCCTACCTGCCCATCCCACTCTCACAAACACCCAGGCATCTTGTAGATATATAGACACCCCGCTACCCATCCTACCCCCAAAGACAACTTCTATATAGATAGACAGACACCCTACCTGCCCATCCTACTCTCACAAACACCCAGGCATCTTGTAGATATATAGACACCCCGCTACCCATCCTACCCCCAAAGACAACTTCTATATAGATAGACAGACACCCTACCTGCCCATCCTACTTCACAAACACCCAGGCATCTTGTAGATATATAGACACCCCTACACCCATCCTACCCCAAAGACGACTTCTATATAGATAGACAGACACCCTACCTGCCCATCCTACTCTCACAAACACCCAGGCATCTTGTAGATATATAGACACCCCGCTACCCATCCTACCCCCAAAGACAACTTCTATATAGATAGACAGACACCCTACCTGCCCATCCTACTCTCACAAACACCCAGGCATCTTGTAGATATATAGACACCCCGCTACCCATCCTACCCCAAAGACAACTTCTATATAGATAGACAGACACCCTACCTGCCCATCCTACTCTCACAAACACCCAGGCATCTTGTAGATATATAGACACCCCGCTACCCATCCTACCCTCACAGACAACTTGTAGATAGGTAGACAGACACCCTACCTGCCCATCCTACTCTCACAAACACCCAGACACCTTATAGATAGATAGACACCCCACTACCCATCCTACCCCCAAAGACAACTTCTATATAGATAGACAGACACCCTACCTGCCCATCCTACTCTCACAAACACCAAGGCACCTTGTAGATAGATAGACACCCCTCCTATCCATCATACCCTCACTGACAACTTGTACATAAAAAGACACCCTACCTGCCCATCCTACTCTCACGAACATCCAGACACCTTGTAGATAGATAGACACCCCATTATCCATCCTACCCTCACAGACAACTTCTACATAAATAGACAGACACCCTACCTGCCCATCCTACCCTCACAAACACCCAGGCACCTTGTAGATAGATAGACACCCCACTACCTATCCAACCCTCACAGACACCCTGTTGGCAGATAGACACCCTACCTACCCATCTTACTCTCACAGACGCCTTGTAGATAGAGAGACACCCCACTACCCGTCCTACTCTCACAGACACCCTGTTGGCAGACAGACACCCTAACTACCCATCTTACTCTCACAGTCACCTTGTAGATAGATAGACACCCCACCTACCCATCCTACTCTCACAGACACCCTGTAAATAGATAGATATCCCACTATCCGTCCTACCCTCACACACACCCTGTAAATAGATAGACACCCACTACCCATCCTACTCTCTCACACACACTGTACATAGATAGACACCCCACTACCCATCCTATTCTCTCAGACACCCTGTAGGAAGACAGACACCCCACCTACACTCATATGCACCCTTACATAGATGGACATCCGACCTACCCATCCTACACTCACATGCACCCTTACATAGATATACACCCCACCTAACCATCCTACACTCACAGACACACTGTACATAGATATCCACCCCACCTACCCATCCTACACTCATATGCACCCTTACATAGATGGACACCCCACCTACCCATCCTACACTCACATGCACCCTTACATAGATATACACCCCACCTAACCATCCTACACTCAAAGACACACTGTACATAGATATACACCCCACCTACCCATCCTACACCCACATGCACCCTTACATAGACATGCACCCCACCTACCCATCCTACATTCACATGCACCCTTACATAGATATACACCCCACCTACCCATCCTACACTCACATGCACCCTGTACATAGACATACCCCCACCTACCCATCCTACATTCACATGCACCCTTACATAGATATACACCCCACCTACCCATCCTAAACTCACATGCACCCTTACATAGATGGACACCCCACCTACCCATCCTACACTCACATGCACCCTGTACATAGACATGCACCCCACCTACCCATCCTACACTCACATGCACCCTGTACATAGACATACACCCCACCTACCCATCCTACACTCACATGCACTCTTACATAGATGGACACCCCACCTACCCATCCTAAACTCACATGCACCCTTACATAGATGGACACCCCACCTACCCATTCTACACTCACAGACACACTGTACATAGATATACACCCCACCTACCCATCCTAAACTCACATGCACACTGTTCATAGACATGCACCCCACCTACATATCCTACACTCACATGCACCCTGTACATAGACATACACCCCACCTACCCATCCTAAACTCACATGCACCCTGTACATAGACATGCACCCCACCTACCCATCCTACACTCACATGCACCCTGTACATAGACATACACCCCACCTACCCATCCTACACTCACATGCACCCTTACATAGATGGACACCCCACCTACCCATCCTAAACTCACATGCACACTGTTCATAGACATGCACCCCACCTACCCATCCTACACTCACATGCACCCTGTACATAGACATACACCCCACCTACCCATCCTACATTCACATGCACCCTTACATAGATATACACCCCACCTACCCATCCTAAACTCACATGCACCCTGTACATAGACATGCACCCCACCTACCCATCCTACACTCACATGCACCCTGTACATAGACATACACCCCACCTACCCATCCTACACTCACATGCACCCTTACATAGATGGACACCCCACCTACCCATCCTAAACTCACATGCACCCTTACATAGATGGACACCCCACCTACCCATCCTACACTCACAGACACACTGTACATAGATATCCATCCCACCTACCCATCCTAAACTCACATGCACACTGTTCATAGACATGCACCCCACCTACCCATCCTACACTCACATACACCCTGTACATAGATATACATCCCACCTACCCATCCCCATCCTACATTCACATGCACCCTGTACATAGATATACACCCCACCTACCCATCCTACACTCACATACACCCTGTACATAGATATACATCCCACCTACCCATCCCCATCCTACACTCACATACACACTGGACATAGATCTACACCCCCACCTACTCACCCTACACACACATGCACACTGTACATAGATATACACACCCACCTACCCATCCTACACTCACATACACCATGTGCATAGATATACAAACCCACCTACCCACCCTACACTCAAAGACACACTGGACATAGATATACACCCCCACCTACTCATCCTACGCTCACACGCACACTGTACATAGATATACACACCCACCTACCCATCCTACACTCACATACACCATGTGCATAGATATACAAACCCACCTACCAACCCTACACTCAAAGACACACTGGACATAGATATACACCCATCCTACACTCACAGACACACTGCACATAGATACACACCCCACCTACCAATTCTACGCTCACATGCACCCTTACATAGATATACACCCCACCTACCAATCTTACACTCACATACACCCTGTACATAGATATACACCCCACCTACCCATCCTACACTCAAAGACACACTGTACATAGATATACACCCACCCTACACTCACAGACACCCTGTACATAGATAGACACCCCACCTACCCATCCTACGCTCACATGCACCCTTACATAGATATACACCCCACCTACCCATCCTACGCTCACATGCACCCTTACATAGCTATACACCCCACCTACCCATCTTACGCTCACATGCATCCTTACATAGATATACACCCCACCTACCCATCTTACGCTCACATGCACCCTTACATAGATATACACCCCACCTACCCATCTTACGCTCACAGACACCCTGTACATAGATATACACCCACCCTACAAACATACACCCTGTACATAGATGGACGCTCCACCTACCCATCCTACGCTCACATACACCCTTTACATAGATATACACCCCACCTACCCATCCTACACTCACATACACCCTTACATAGACATACACCCCACCTACCCATCTTACGCTCACAGACACCCTGTACATAGATATACACCCACCCTACAATCACATACACCCTGTACATAGATGGACACTCCACCTACCCATCCTACACTCACATACACCCTTTACATAGATATACACCCCACCTACCCATCCTACACTCACATACACCCTTACATAGACATACACCCCACCTACCCATCTTACGCTCACAGACACCCTGTACATAGATATACACCCCCACCTACTCACAGACACCCTTACACAGATGGACACCCCACCTTCCCGTCCTGTTTTTACACCTACCCGGTTATGTACCCAAATGGACGTTATTAAGTTCAGTCTGTGCAATGTCTGCAGTGTAGTTGAACATACTTCTATTAATGGCCCTGACTGCTAGTGACATGACATCCCACGCGAGGAATGCTGTCTCCTGTCCTCTACCGCAACACTGTAAGGCCGGACGGACGCATGCGATACACACACGGATCTTTCACTTTGTCCCAATTGTTTAAATTCCGCTTCTGTTTACTTCAAAAACTGGTGACTTAGATAGTGTTCTTGCTTTGTCTACCATTGTTCTACGTTTGACTTACATCGCCCCACGTCCAGCTACTATCACAGCAAACACTGGTTGTTACAGCTTAAATAAGCGTCCACGTCTGCTCAACCCTCGGATCGTCTATCAGTGGAAGGGAGGTAACTCATCTACCTGCTGCGACCTGACGTTTTCTAACTACCTATCTACACCAGTTTGTCAAACAGACCCCAAAACACACATGCCCAATGCAGCCCACGCCAGTCTAGATTACCACAGTTTCTGAAAATAAAGAAAGTCTCTGCCTCCTTTTTATCATATTTTATCAATGTAATTTTTGAACTCGTTTTTCTGTAAAATACAACCAGAAATTATTGAGAATTTAAAGATTGTAATTTCTAAAAAATATTCACTCATTACTCACGTATTAAATGTGAATATTAGCAGAACATAACTCCAGATTCAAAGACAGGTGAACAGTTAGTATTTTGTCAAGTCACCATGGGCAGCAATGCAGGCTTCAATGCGGCGGGGCATACTACTGATCAAAGAAGTTAGAAAGTCGTGGTCCATGCTGTCCCAATATCGGACCACCTCTTCTTTCATTTCAGCAATATTTGTCAGATTTTTCTTATTGACACTTTCCTTCATAAGTCCCCAAACATTTTCTATTGGATTTAGGTCAGGGCTATAGCTTGGCAAATCTAATAATGTCATATTTTGGGTCCGAAACCAGGCCTGTGAATGCTTTGAAAGATGTTTTGGATCGTTGTCCTGCTGGAAAATCCAAAAACATTTCCAGAGAACACGTGAGCAGATGGAAGTAAATGTCCCTCGAGAATATCTGTGTACCGCTCACTGTTCATATTCCCTTCAAATACACAGAGGGGCGTTGCCCCTAACACAGATATGCCACCCCACACGTTAAATTTCGGACAGTACTTTGGGCGCTGATACAAATGTTTTTCAGTTTGTTTGGTCCAGAATTTCAGTGTATTAGGAAACGGCCACACTGAACTTTCATCTGAGAAAATAACATTGTCCCAGTTAAAATTTCTATGCTGTAAGCACCTTCGCTCCTTTTGTTCAGGTTTCATGATCGGTGATGGAATTCCTCGACTTTTCTGCCAACCCATTGCATGCAGCTCAGTTCTAATTGTCTCCATACAGACAGCCACAGTCCCTCTATCAATCATATCCAGCCTTAAGTTTTCTAAACTCCTTCGTTTGTTTTTAGAAACAAGAATACCAAGCCGCCTCCTGTCACCGTCAGTCAATTTTCTGGGCCTACTTGCGCCTCCCTGGTGCTCAATGCCATATCCATTTGCAATATTTTTCAAAACACGATAAACAGTCGACAAAGGGATGCCTGTTCTACTTGAAATCACTTTAGCTGATCTGATGTCCTTGTTATAATACTCTAAAATCAACTTCCTCTTCTCTAAATCATCCATACTGAGGATCACTGAAAATGACGTCTGCTATCACGTAAACAAAGGGGGATAACTCTTCACAAACTAATGAAAAAGCATTAACGGAGTTGTCTCTCTTGAATGAAACCAAGCACTTGACAGCTGGGTAAGGTTGTTTATACTAGAAATCCAATTAAACATATTCCTAAAATTCTCAATAATTTCTGGTCATACTATATATTCAATTCAGAGACTGGATATCAGTCTAATATGCAAATCAACGGCAACATGTACTATGGGACTCTCTTTTGACAGTAACTAGCTGCAGCAACATTAAATAACTTATTTATACTCAGTGAACTATTCTACCATTTGGTATGATCATTCGATTCAAATCAATCACAATTTTAGTTGTAGATATGAAACTTGTCTGGAGTGTTGACTACAATCTGGGGCGACACTGTAACACTGTCACTGAACTATTCTTGGTCGTAGCAGTGTTAACACTACACTCACGTCCGCAATTTGTCCTAACAGCATATATTTTTCCACAACTATCTACAAATTCCACGTGCTGTGTAGGCATGCTCCAACGCCTTAATATATTGTCTTAATTACCAACTCACATAAGAATATTTACATTTTTGTGTGTTGTCCAAGTGCAGATTAGTGGTGCGCTCAAGTCACTTGACATTTACAGCACAGACATTCGTCTTATGAAAGACGCTAAATGAACCTAATACGATCAATTACGCTGTTTATGGCTGAATTAACGCGTACTTGATACTGAAGGAGATGTAGATATACAAGCGATGTCTCCATGCCTGCAGTAAATGCACTCTCTAGTTCCAACAAGGAACGTTAAATGCGGAAATTATACAGCGGAAATAACCAGGGGGGAAATTGCCTTCAAAATTACACTGACGTTGTTTAAGAGCTCCACACGAGGGGACGATAGCCCTGTGTGTGCGGGCTGGGTGTGGGGGGTTTTGAGGGGGGTGATAAGGTCGATTTACACAGGGCAGATTAAATTGGTAAATATCTAAACATGTGCGGGCTCAGTGGGGTTTAATTATGGTCACTTATGAAGTAAAAACCTCATTAAGAAGGAAATTATTATATATGCGGGTAGTTTGCCGCTCTGGGTGACATGGAGTGGGGATGGGGGGAGGGGAGTGAGAGGGGGGCGGACGAGGGAACGTGGGCAGGGGAGACGAGGGACATCATCTTATATATTCCGAATTATACTGTTTTACTTTTATGCCTTTGAACAGCATTATATACGTTTATATAATGTACATATATTTCTGTATCTATCTGTGTATTTACATGATTTTAGTTTCTCATAAATCACGAAGTGATTGGTTGTGTACTTTTAGCATCGGTGTACTATGTACACAAGTTAGACTTAATAAAATCATTGTCTGTCTGTCTGTCTGTCTGTCTGTCTGATAGTACCTTTGTACGTTCGTGTATGTGTTTTCTGCGCGTGTGTATGTGAGTGTTTATGGAGGTGGTGTTAAATTCGGCACCAAGACAAAGATAACGGTGTACAGCCTGTCATTCTTGAACGCACTTAATTCCATAATCTTCTCTTATTCCTTGAGGGTGTAATCTCAACATTATTGTGATGACAATGGAGATTACAAACTTGCTACATGTATAAACTTTCTCTTAAACTGAGACTTAACCATACTTGAACCGTTCAAACATGTCAGACAGAAATTTAACTTGTTTGTCGAGGAAAAGTCGGCGTTTTTATCAAATATCTAGGAAGCTTTACAACCTCGTGGTGAAAATACCACATTTACATAAGTAATACCTACGCCTGTACTACGATCAATCATCAGCTTCGATTTGCATCGCTCAAATCCATACTGGCCTCAATAATATGCTGGAACGTAAATCAAATGTAGACAAGCATGGTATCAGAGCCCGTTATCTAATCGTGTTAGACAACCAAGGCCCTAGATTCTGCACCTGTACATGATAATCATTCCGTTACAAATATAGACAGATAAGTACCTATGTTAAGATGATGCTATGTTAAAGAGGTTATCAGAGTACTATGAAAGCGAGAGCTGTTGATGAAGAAGTAACGATAAACATTGTCTTTGTTTAGCTTGATTGACGGGGCCACGACAAGGCCGCGAGTCGGTCTGTCAGTACAGCGCGTCAGGCAGCCTCGGCAACAACGCGAACTTCAACTACATCAACATACGCCGCTGAAGTGATGAAATGTTTACACGGGTCAGAGCGGACCTTACTCTGCTTACCTTCAATAATTACATTTTCGAATTTGACAAAAACATAACTGTAAATATATATCACTTACTAAGGAATGTGTTATTTCCCAACTATTCTGACAACAAGTCGACACGAAAACAGACGTAGATCGCAGAGGTTGCGTGTGTTACAGACGGTTGAAAGGCTGATGTACACTAACAGTTAGTCTATGAAATGTCACTTTAAGCTATCCTTATTGTCTTTTGTCTTTTAATGTGTAGTAGATTGGAGCTCAGAAAATATCTTCATTTTCAGCAATTAAGGAAATATAGTAAACTTCATGATGCAAAGACATGCTTGGAAGTTCTTAGACTAACAACTAGTCTCTGAAATGAACATATTTTACAGAAAATAAGTTCATAGGGGGAAAAAATAAGATATAATGAAAAGGAGCCCTGTTGTTCCAACACCTGAGACATTCTTGATCACATTTTCTAGACTTGCGTGGGCTTTCTTGTATATATTTGCTTCAGGGTCTGTATGACAGACTAGGAAGTTCCCTGCAGTTATGTTTCAGGGCCTGTTTGAGGGACTGGGGGTGACGGCCAGGGTTAGGGGAGGGGCTGGTAGACATGCGGGCATTTTTAATTCGTGTAAATAATGTATGTACATTCCGATTTAATGTTATAATAATGATGATGATGATGATAATTGATACATATTTAATCAGATAACATATTCTGCTATGATATATACATCTCTCAGAGCTAAAAACCTACAGGTCATGACCAAGTATTTGGATTGGTACGTTGAACTGTTGTTCCAACACCCGTGAAGTTCCGGAAAGGAACTGGTCTTCGGCAAAGGGCGATGAACAGGATCTAGACTTACCCTCAGTTTCTGAATATATATAAGTTTGATAGAAACAAACAATTCCTTTTAAATTTAAATTGAGCCCAAGTGAGAAGGGAGATTGAGACCTTAACCTGAGGAATCTAGACTTACTTCTTTAGGGTTTTATAATCGCATGCAGAAAGGGCTCGGCAAAAGGGAAAATAACGCGGATCAGGGACTGTGAGACCAACTGTCATGGTATCCCAACTGCATAAATTGGTGCTTATGATGTTAAACACTGGATTGTCTGGTCCTGACTCGATAGTTGACAGACCGCCATGATATAGCGGGAATATTGCGGAGTGTGACATTACATTGCTAAACTCATTATGTGTTGGTTTTACAGTTGTCGTGCACGGCGTTGGCACTGAACGTTTGTATAAAGATAAGATAAATAAGATGAGATAAGATATTTATTACATAGCCTTCCACGAAGGAACAGTGGCAATATTCTATAAACTACAAATATAGACACAGTAGGTTCAAAGATATAGAAATATACAACACTTCACATACCAATTATGTACATTATAAAATATCTTGTTTCTTGTAATAATACTTAAAATAATCGTTATGATGCATTACAATCATTATTATTCCATC